ATTCCCATCTTCAATGGTGAGAAGTATGAGTTTTGGAATATCAAAATGAAGAATTTGTTTAAGTCAAAAGATTTATGGGATCTTGTGCTAAATGATGTGCAAATTGGAGAAGATGAAGGGAGAAATAATGATAACAAGAAGACGGATTCAAAGGCTTTGTTTTTCATTCAACAAGCTATGGATGATAGTGTATTTTCAAGAATTTTTATGGCAGAGACATCAAAGAAAGCTTGGGATATTTTGGAGAAAGAATTTCAAGGTTCAATAAGAGTAAAGACAGTAAAGTTGCAATCTATGCGACGCGATTTTGAAGCTATGAATATGAATGAAGGAGAAGGTGTTCAAACATATCTCTCTCGGGTATCAACAATTGTGAACAAAATGCGATCATTTGGATAGCAAATATCTGATGAGAAGGTAGTCTCCAAAGTTCTAAGGAGTCTTCCAACAAATTTTGAACATGTAGTGGCTGCTATTGAAGAATCCAAAGACCTCGTTGGGTATTCTTTTGATGAAATGATGAGTTCATTGATGTCTCATGAGGAGAGAATAAACAGAAGAGAATTGAAGACAGTTGAAAAGGCATTTCAAGTGAAGGAATTTTCAACTAGTGGCAACAAAGAAGGAGGTCGTGGAAGAGGAGCAGAAAGTGCTTATGTAGGAAGAGGTGGTCGTGGTGCTTTTCGTGGAAGAGGGTTCTATGGAGATAAAAGATCAAGTGGAGGTCAAAAGCAATGTTATTATTGTAAGAAGTTTGGTCATATTGAGACAAATTATTGGAACAAACAAAGGAATCAAGAAGACAAAGATAAAGTGCAGTGTGATTTTTGTAAGAAGTTTGGACATTCAGAAGATATATGTTGGTCCAAACAAAAACAAGCCAATATTGCGGATAAGACAACAGATCAAAATAATCTATTTATGACACATTTCCAAGGTGATTGTGATATTTCAGAAATTTGGTTCCTTGATAGTGGTTGTTCTAATCACATGACTGGAATGAAGTTTTTTTTCAAAGAGATTGATATGTCAAAGAAATCAAAAGTCATATTTGGTGATAATAATGTTGTTCAAGTTGAAGGCAAGGGGAGCATTGTTGTTGGGACAAATGATGACAAGGTAAAGCTATTACATGATGTTTTGTATGTTCCAAAACTTGCACATAATTTGCTAAGCATTGGGCAATTAATCAATAGTGGATATAAAGTTGAATTTGATGAAAAGACATTAAAATTGAAGACAAAAAAATAAGCAACAAATTGCAAGAATTCAGATGGCTCCAAATAAAAAATTTCCACTCAATATTTCAGCAGTTCAAGAAAAGTTTTGATAGCCAAGAAAATATTTGATGCTGAATTATGACATTTTAGATATGGTCATTTATATATGGGAGGTTTGAAATTATTATATCAAAAGAAGATGGTTTATGCTTTGCCTAAAGTGTACTTTGGTGGAATTTGTGTAGCTTGTGTTATGGGAAAGCAAGCTAGAAAGTCTTTTCCATATGAAAAATCATGGAGAGCAATAAGATGTTTGGAGTTAATACATGTAGATTTGTGTGGCCCAATGAATAAACCATCTCATGAAGGGTGTAAATATTTTTTTTAATTTGTTGATGGCTATAGTAGAATGAATTGGGTGTATTTTTTGAAGCATAAATCAGAAGCCTTTGAAAAAATTTATGCATTTTAAAGCATTGATGGAGAATCATAGTGGCAAGAACATTAAAACTCTACGCACAGATAGAGGTGGAGAATATACATCAAATGAGTTAGACAAATTTTGTGATAAATATAGAATCTTCAGGTAATTAACTGCTTCTAATACACCACAACAAAATGGGATCGTCGAAAGAAAGAATATAACTATTGTAGAAATGGCAAGAAGTATGTTGAAGATGAAGAATTTATCAAATACATTTTGGGCTGAAGCTACTCTAACTGCTATTTATATTTTGAATATATCTCCAACAAAA